ACGCGATAATAGAAAGAGCCTGTTTCGCATAATACAAGTGTTCATATATTTGTATTAAATTATAATATATCGTTTTCGCATCAAATTTGCACCGCACGAACATATTTTTAGTCGAACTGCTAGATTACCTTCTTGTGACCTTCCTGCTTCCGTACTCGATACCTATCCCAGTTATTTAACTGACATATTCACACGAATTCACGATCTCCAAATTACCGCTAAACGTAATATCGGACGATTTAATATCAGATCAAAAGAATACTACGTTCATTGTCTCAACTAACAGAATTTTAAAATTGGCGATAAAATATTTTTGCTGATCTCCTATTAGGTGGTAAACTTAGTTCTTGCGGTTTTTTTGTTTAAAAAACTCATTTATTTCGACATCAAAAGCAAAAAATATATTAATCGAAGTATTTTCCCTCGCTAGCTATACATTTTTCCCATCTTTCGGGCAACGCGTAGATTCCGCAACGATAGAACGATTGGTATTTTGATGCAATCCATTCGTCGATCCATTTTCGCACATCCTCGTAATTTCTGAAGTGTGTATCCACCAAGCCGTGCTGCATCGACCGGAACAAGTAATAGTCCGAAGGAGCTAAGTCTGGTGAATACGCTGGGTGCGGGAGAACTTCCCACTCGAGCTGCATCAGTATTTCATTGACGGCTTTGGCAACGTGTGCTCGAGCATTGTCGTGCAAAAGCATGACTTTAAGTCGATTGCTGGCTACTGCTGACATTTTTTCCAACAATGTTTCATTCAGACGGTTTAATTGTGATTGATATCGATCACCCGTGATACTTTCGTTCGGTCTCAATAGCTCATAATAAACGACGCCGTGCATATCCCACCAAATGCAAAGCATTGCTTTGTGGCCATGAATATTTCTCTTTGGTGTGGATGTCGATGGTTGGCCAGGGTCTACCCATGATTTTCTTCCTTTAGGATTATCGAAATATATCCATTTTTCATCGCCATTCACTATGCGCCACAAAAAACTTCTTTTTCTGCCTGGCGAGCAGAGAAATATAGATGTTTAAGCGATTCGCAATAGCATTTGCGGTTAATTCGTGTGGTACCCGTTTTCTCTCCTTTTGAATTTTTCCCATTGCATGTAGACGTTTGGAAACAGCCATCGGAGTAACATTTAATGCTGCAGACAATTCTTGGAGCGTTTGAGTAAAGTTTTCGTCCAATAATGCCTGCAAATCGGTGTCTTCAAACTTTTTCGGTTGGCCTGAGCGTTCTTTATCATTGACATCAAAATCACCAATCTTAAATCGCTGAAACCATACTTGGCATGTTCTTTCCGATGGAGCATAATTGCCATAAGTTTCGAAAAGCAATTTATGAACTGCAGTTGCAGTTTTTTTCAAGTCAAAGTAATGAAGCAGCACATGTCGAAAAAACAACTTATCGCGTTCCATATTTAATCAAAAGAAAAAATAGCACTGCTCGCTTAAATGAATCTCTTCGCACTGAATTTTATTGACAAATATCTAACCTCTAAAATGCAGCCAGTTTCAGATGTCAAAATAAATTACACCTACAACTAACGTCATCTAACTGTGAGCCGCAGGAACTAAGTTTACCACCTAATACTTCCTCAAATTATCTGATCAATATTCCGGTCCCTACGAAATCCTAAAAATACTCCGAGATGATAACGTTCGAATCCGAAACAGTACCATTTCAAAAATAATACACCCCAACCGGCTACTCGTAAGTCAATTTGCAGAGATTGAAAAAAACTCAACTGAGAGCAACAACTCACCAAACTCAACTAAGAGAACTTTCAAATGTTCACTATCGTTGCGTCTTACTCCTTGATATCGGGAACTGCTTCTCTACTGGAGAAAAACCCAATTCGACTACGACCTACCTCCGACTTCTTCAAGTCGCCAAATATTTGCAGACCAAAATTCTATTCTGCGGTATCCAAGTCGAACCGTACAGAGCGCCACGAGCCGCCAACCAAGTCGCACGTGCCGCAATAGATACGAGCATAAAAACTCAGAGAAAGCTTATTTCAATTCACCAACGAGCAAACATACGGTGAAACAACACCAGGGTGGACCTCACAGAGACGCCCGACGGAGCCGAGTAGGCGAATAAGGAAGGCAATAGCTAAAAGAATGAAAATCCGCGAACTCAGAGCGAGGTAACCTCAAAAACTTACCTCGCGCAAAGCAACAATAAGAAAAATCTGGAGAGACTTCTAAAAGACCCAAACTCTCAGACGAAAATAGCTGCATTTTTTAACAAACAAAAAATGACAAAAGCTAAAAAGTCTTCGAACCAACCTAACCTCAACTCGCAGGGCAGGAAGAAAATAACACAGTTCAATGACGCAGAAACTAGTGAAAGCGCCACGCCAGATGCAATTCTACAGGAAAACCTTTCCCTGAAGAAAGAAATAGCAGAATTAAAATGTATAATTCAAAATCTGGAAAAAGAACAACAAAGCATAAAGAACGAACAATCATCGGTAGAACAAAGGACTCATCCTAAACCAAGACCCGAAAAATACACAGCAGGAGATGAAACAACACATACTTCACAAACAGACGACATGCAACTTGCAGAAGAAGAAGACCCCTTCATCGAAAAACTTAAGTACGAGAACATAAGGAAGAGAAAAACCGACAGCAGGGAGCACGAAACAGCACAAGACACCAGAGGGAAAAGATCTTCAACGCAAAAAACATACAATAAGATAGCAAGCTCGCCGGAATTAGCAGATAGACAGATATCAACACAGAGGGAAGTCTCCACACCTAAACATCACAGGCAAAACAAACCACCACCTATCAATATACTGTATCAAGACCCGAAAGACACCATAGAATTATTAAAAAGTAAGTTACACATAGAACACTTCGCAATTAAAAGAATTAGCAACAACAAACACCTAGCTTTATTAAAAAACACAAATGACTTCACGAAAACTAAAGATCTACTAACAAAAACAAACACAAATTATTACACGTACACAGCAAAATCAAACAAACACCATACCTACTTACTAAAAGGCATTAATCAATTCTACACAGAGGAGGAAATACTAGCAGAATTACACAGATATAATTCTGGAAATATTAAATTTATTAAGGCAAGTAGATTTTCCACAAAGCGTTCAATACAAAATAAAATCACTCTACCAATATTCATAGTAACAATAGAAGCAAATAGCAACCTCGACATGTTAAAAGAAATTAAATTCATAGATTATAATGTAATTCAATGGGAAAGACTGAAAAGAAAGGAAACGATGCAATGCAAAAAATGCCAAAGAATCGGACATGCGGCAATAAACTGCAACATGGCATACAGATGTGTAAAATGCAAAAGTAACCACGACCCAGGGAAATGTGATTCAATCATTAAAGACAAGAGCGAGCTATTTTGCATAAACTGTAAATCATATGGACACCCCGCCTCATACAGAGGCTGCCCTAGAATTAAGCAATACAAGCAATTAATACAAGACAAGAAGACAAATAAAACAAGACAGTCAACAACACAATATACCACAGTCACAAAAGATATATCGTATGCAGAAATGGCAGATTCTCGGAGCAAACAGCATAGCCAGGACAACAATAACAATACTCCAAATAACACAGAAAGTACAGACCCGTCTCAGCAGATCTTATACAAATTAGACAACCTTTTCAAAATAACAAACATATTAATAAATAACGTCAACAGAATTAACGTTATGCTAGGAATCCCCCTAACCCCAATAGAATAATGGCAGGAATCAACAAAATAGGAAATATCAGAAAAAACACTATTGAATTTATCGCATTAAACATAAACTCAATAATCAGTAATTTCAAAAGAATGTCTCTATTAAACCTATTAGACCAACACAAACCTGACTTTGTTCTTTTAGGAGAGACAAAACTCAACGAAAAACATAAGATATATTTCAAAGACTACGACATATACAGGAACGACAAGGAAAACGCAAAAAGAGGAGGAGGTACGGCAATCATACACAGAAACGATATAAAATGTGAAAGGATAAAACTACAAAAAGAAAACAGAGCTTTAGAAACATCCATAGTCAAAATTAGCCTGAACAAAGACAAAAAATATACATAATAGCTGCATATGCAAACAAAAAAGGTAACAAACACTTCATCAACGAGTTACAAAACTTATATGAAGAACTTAACCTTAGCCATGTAGATAACTATTACATCCTTGCAGGCGACCTTAATGCAAAACACACTAGCTGGTCGAACGACCTTAATAACGAAAGAGGCAGCGCATTAAGAAACTGGCTAGATCGCAACGCCATTAAAAGAAAAATCAACTTGCTTCACTCCAGTAACCCCTCATACCCTAGAAAAAACTCTTATTTGGATATCATACTTGCAGACGCCAGAATCAACTTTGCAGATGCACAAGACAGCAAGGTAGAAACAATAAATACAGAAAGCGACCACAGAGCCCTTAAGTTTAAGATAGAATTATCCGAAAACCTTAACCTAGAACTCAAACAAACCAACAACCACAAGATAAACTATAGCCTAACCAACTGGGACACATTTAAGAACAAACTCAGCAATTCCAAAATTCAACTACCAACGGACAAAAACATGTCAATAAACAAAATTGATGAAGGATTAGAAAAACTCAAATCAATTATCACAACAGCTCTCACAAAAGCTACACCCAAACACAAAGGACAAAACTCAACGGACAAATACTTAAACAGCGACATCAAAAAACTTCAAAAGGAAAAAAACAGAATTCTATCAGAAATCCACAAACTCAAAAGGTCATTTAATACAGATCGAAGTACAAAACAAAAAATAACCTCGCTCAAAGAACAACTAAAATCTAAAAGAGAGGAACAAAAGAAACGCACTGGAGAGGCGGTCAGCAAATACTGGTCAGACAGAATCCGGAACATAAAACATAACGAACCAAAAAAAATGTTCCCAGAAATACAAAACTATTTAGAAAGAAAGAATAATCAGAGATGCCTACACTTAAGATCAATCCGAACGACGAAAACCTCTTGAAAGAAGCAAATATTAACCCGACTGGCACTCCCAGAGACACCGAGAACAACTTCATAATCAAGGAATTAAAACAGAAATTACAAATCATAGGAGCACACTACATGTCAATAAGTAACAAAACAACCAAGCTTGGAAATAGACCGCTAAATAACATAGTTAAAAGAGAATGCGAAAAAATTATAGTAGAAATAGAAAAAGATAGAACAAACGGCAACACCATCTGCCAATTCAACACTGACAACCCAGCACAAGCACCTTCAATCTTTAGCACAGAACCAAACTACTTCACAAACGAGAAAACAGTAAGAACAATATTCCACAACCTAAACAACAAAATCTCTTCAGGCACAGACAACATACCAAACAGAGCACTGAAACATATTACAAAGAACATCGCCCTTCAATATACAATCATATTTAACAATATGCTAAACCACAATTACTTCCCCAACTACTGGAAAATCGCAAAAACAATATCAATACCGAAAAAAGAAAAAGACAAAACACAAATCAACAGCTACAGATTAATCAGCTTATTACCAAACATCAGTAAAATTTATGAAAAAGTCATAAACCAAAATATAATCAGACACAGCTCTAAACACAATATAATCCCTGATTACCAATTCGGCTTCCGCAGACACCACTCTACAAGCCATGCAATAAATAAAGTAGTTTCGGACACATTCTGGGCACTCAATGGAAAAAAATGTGTAGGCGCATGCCTGATCGACCTCGAAAAAGCTTTCGATACAGTTTGGCTAGAGGGACTTATATTTAAATTGATAAAAAAGAACTTCCCAATTTACCTAATAAAGTTAATTTGGAACATGATACACAATAGAAAATTCAGAACATACCAAAACTATTGCACTTCGGAAAAAACATTTACAATCTCCAACAGGCTACAGCAGGGCACAATCAATTCACCGACTCTTTTCAACATATACACCGCCGATTTGCTGATATGCTTTGGCCCCGTAAACACAGACTGTACGCTGATAGCATATGCAGACGATTTAATTGTTTACACAGCCGACAAAAAACCGTCAGTAATTAAAAACAAACTACAAAACGCCATAGATAAGATTCTATACTATTATAATGCTTGGAAATTTAAAGTTAACCTAAGCAAATGCGAAACGATACTATTCAGACCTTCCACCAAAGCCGCTTCAGCAAACATAAAAAAACACTACAAAAACTTCAACATCATAGGAAACGTTAACGATAAAACAGTCATCCCACACAAGAAAACAGTAAAATATTTAGGCATACAACTGGATGAAAGATTACACCTAAACCAACATGTAGAATTACAACTAGAAAAGGCTAAAAGAACATTCATAAGTCTAGGAAATCTATTCTACGCCAGAAACCTAAACAGGAGAGTAAAAATCACCTGCTACCAAGCTTTAATTAGACCCATCATTACTTACGCATGTGAAATATGGTACAACTTGAACGCTGCTAATATGGAAACAATCAGAAAATTTGAAAGGAAATGCATCAGAGCGTGCACGAACACATATAGATCCAAAGAATCAAACTACACAAAATACACAAACAACTTAACTTTTTATAACACAGCACAGATACACAGAATAGACTGTTTTACAATCCAGCTAATTAGAAGATACTTCAAAAGACTCTCCGAAATCAAAGAAAATAGCCTTATATATTCCATCCCGTGCATAAACGAAAATTATATTATAAACACGCTAAAAACGGGCTTCATACCGCCAGAAGCATTCATATACCTCGACGCGAACGGATACATAACAGATAAACACGGAATACCGATAATATACCACATTCCAAGACATAAAAAACACAAAACCATTATATATAACAAACACATAGACAGTAAGAAGCAAGAAACCACCCTAAAATACGACACAACGATACCTAATAGAGACAAATTACTTTCCAACGAAAAAAACACAAAACAATACTGGTGGCTCAAGAGAAATTAAACAATCACAGATACTTATCCGATTTACCTCTAAGAGGCCCAGTTTGACACACCACTAGAAATAAGTTAACACAAAACATAAGACTGAAAAGTATAACGCAAGTACAAGCACAAGACTCTCATAGAATAAGTAGGAAATAACAAACAAGCAGTATTACATACAATTAAGTCGAACGAAATGAAAGTCTCAGCGATACACTTAAATTATTTACAAGTTGTTTACACTTTTATTCACATTTTTTTTTATGTATTACATTTCAATCTCGAATTGTGATTCAAATTATGATACTAATTCCGTATTCATATTTTTGTACAGCATAAGTTAAGACTAGTTTAAGTTTTGTACAGTAGTAAGTTTAAAAAAAAAAAAAAAGTAAAAAGAAAAAAAGTAAAGTATAAAGCTTCCTTCTTTGACGGCGACCAATTTGGGGGGAAAGGGCAGAAAACAAGATAGTACAAAGCTACAGCACAGGCGAACCTAGAACTAAGAAAAAACATGTTAATAGCAATTAAGGCTTAAGGCACATCACAACAACTTTTGTTTGCGAAACACTCTCTGAGTGGTCAAACGATACAGCGTTAGCAAGTAATTTAATACTTTAGTTTATTGAAGTATAATCCAATGTAATTAGAATTTAAGGTCGAAAAATAAACAACTTAAAACAAACAAAACAAGTCGAACCGTACATCTTTCATTGTGGCATGCACTCCCACATGTCGTTAGTCTACGGAGGGGATCGCAAATATTTAGTCGAGCCAGAGACTTCTATATCAGAGCTTTGTGAATAAAATTATAGATTCCGAATCTCGTTTTTTGACAGCATATACTATAATTCACAAAGTCCACTCCAAATAAGTTATCGTAGAAATCTTGCGCGATAACCCATTCGCGAAAAGAGCCCACATTTTAATAAAAAATTTAGACTTTTTACCATACTTCAAATATAAGTGTGTTTATATTGAAAAACACATTAAGAATTAAATCAATTAAGAATCAAATCAAAAAGACATTATTAAGACAACATTAAGAATTGAACCAAAAAGCACAAAAATTTGTACCGAAAGGTTATCGAGAAATGTAATTAGGAACAACAAATTCTGAGAAATACTATCTCGTTAGCTTTTAGCCAACCTGATCTACTTACGTATACCTTAATGAAAGGGCCCAAATACATAGCCATTCTCGACGGCAAAGTAGCTCATATAATGAAATGTATACCGTTCGACGACACCAGGCGACCCATCGATTCCTGTTTCCTCGAACTTTATAATGCCCTTGGTAATCGCTCCATGTTCTTGACTCTGAAATTTTATTTAGAACTTTATTTAGAACTGATATTACTGTAGTTTATATTCCTTTAATTCCCAGTATGTCCAACTTGAGAGACAAATAGATAAGCTTGACGCCGAAATCAGCAATCGCCATACCGCCACAGACGCTTGAGCCTCTCGTCCGACCTACATGGAAGCACATGGACGCCGAATATTTAGCTGAAAACGGGATCTACTCTAGCGAGGACCTTGAACGTCTCCGAGAAGACATTATATTCCCGATCGAACAACTAAACATTATCAACAACTTTGCAAAAGCGGCCGCAGGTCATCAGATTTGATTCATTTCCCATCGCTAATCTCCTTGACAAAGAAGCCCTCGACATTATTACACAGTCAACCAGCGAAAGATTATTTGAAAAATTCTTTCAATTTGGAAACGAAAAGCACAGGTTTCATCGGGATCTCGATGGATCATCAAAGCTTTCAAGGTCGTTGCTGATACTTTAATCTATGGATACGCCTTGCCCTCTCTATATGGCTGGGGTGTTCATCTCCATATTTTCATCTACAAAGAGCCTATTACTATACCTAAGAGAGAAAACGAACGAAGATAAATTACCTACCCCTCCTGCCAATGGTCTGTCCGTGCCTACAGTCGAGGCCACTGCTGTCAATCTCAATCATTCGTCAGCAAACTGTAACTTGCCAGCCGAACGCCACCATACGCCGTACGGGAAGAAACGAACTATTCCGAAGCTTAGTCCATATCTAACGTTGAGATCAACGCAGTAGAGAAATCATTGGGACAAATAGAAAAACGGCTGGACCGTGATTGCCAACTACCACCCCACGTTGAATAAACGTCACCTTCTTATTCGCTTCATTCCACTACGCTTTTCTTGTTAAAGAAGTGTTACGTTCTGAGTCGTGACGTCCTTCTTAAATCACTCGCGCTGATCTTTAAATTTTCCTACTTTTATAATATCTTTTTTTATCGACCACCTCCCTCTCCTCTTCTCGATCCTCTTCGCGATCTGCCGTCAACTATCAGCCTGTATGTCGATTGCACGCAATAACACCACCGTCTGCGATAATCATCGCAAAGAATAAGCAAACAGCTGTCATATACAGTGTAAACGGCGCGTCAAATTTCTTATGAATTCGGACGCCTTGTCGAGTTAGGGAAGCGCTTAAAGAGCAGGAGAAGCAGGAGAGCAATTATACATATATCTTTATAACCTGCTTTACGTAGCACAGCCCACGACTTTATTGTACGAAATTTCCATTCCCAACAGCGCGTTTCCTCGACCTTCCCTCGCCATAACTCATTTGTGATTTTTTTCATATGCGGTCATTTTATCTTCATCCATCATCATTCTCACGGCTATCTCCTGCCTCTCTTAACTCTTTTAAGAACACTAGCGTATGAGTTTCGCTGATGCGAAACCAACCGTGCTGATAAAGTCACGGCATCGCGAATTTGCGATTGCGACAAAGTTAAGATGAGTAGACGATTAGACGAAACAAAAAGGTCCAACGGTAGGTCCAAGAGTCATCGGCATTTCACTTCAGTCCAAGCATTCGTCCGGCGCAGACGTGTTTTTCTAAATCTCTTTTGACTAACATTCTTATTCTAAACAGACGTGTTTGTCCAAATTGTCTCATTTACATAAATTTAATCTTATTCTACAACGCTTCAATATCTTGATTCAGTTCAAGTTCATATCTTTATAAAATCACCGCGAGTGCAACTTGTCATTTTGCAACTTCAGAGTCATATACTAATGCCGCTGCTTTACCTCACCACTGTTGCGGCCCAACATCGTCGTCGATTCCAAACTCTCAGAAGCTATATCTTTTGTTCAGCGATGATTAGGTGGTTTCTCATTCACCACCTCTGCGAATCGTTATATTGAAAGTCTCCTTGTCGTTCATTAGCAACTAGTGCCTTCTCTCTTGTTGCATTTTGAACCGTCGAACGTAACTTCTAATCAGACAGGTGTTGTTGCCTTGCTAGCTTATCATTTTTAATTCCATTATTTGTATTAGGTAAACAACTTTGCTCCCGCCGTTTCCCTATAGATGGCTTTAGTGGAACTTAGTGGTAAAAGTAAATAGATCATATACGACATACAATCAACTTGAGCATCTGTCAACATAACCTAATAGTTACATTAGTCGATTTGTATCTAAACCATAAAGTTTTCGTCGATTAAATATGTCAGTTTACGAGCCGAATTCTTGTCATTTGCGGGAAATTTTACTTTTCTGCTTCAATATGAAAAAATCTGAGGCTGAGGCTTATCGAATGCTCTCAAATACCTATGGTGAGATCGCTATTAGTAAAAGAACGTGTCGTGAGTGGTTTCAACGCTTCACAAACGGTGATTTTCACGTCGAAAACCGGCATAG